CCCCGGCGCCCTCCTCGCCCTACTCCCCGGCGGCGGCGGCCTCGCTGGCGGCGGCGGTGGTCTTCCTGATCGTCTTCACGGTGGCGGGCAACGTGCTGGTGGTGCTGGCCGTGCTGGGCGGGCGGGCGCTGCGGGCGCCGCAGAACCTCTTCCTGGTCTCGCTGGCCGGCGCCGACATCCTGGTGGCCGCCCTGGTGATGCCCTTCTCGCTGGCCCACGAGCTGGCGGGCGGCTGGGCCTTCGGGCGGGGCTGGTGCCGGCTCTACCTGGCCCTCGACGTCCTCTTCTGCACCGCCTCCATCGCCCACCTCTGCGCCATCAGCCTCGACCGCTACTGGTCGGTCACGCGGGCCGTGGAGTACGGCCGCCGGCGCACGGCCCGGCGCGTCAAGGGGGCCATCCTGGCCGTCTGGCTCCTCTCCGCCGCCATCTCCTGCCCGCCCCTCTTCTCCGCGGCCGCCCCGGCGGGGGGCCCGGCGGCCGGCTGCCGCCTCAACGACGAGACCTGGTACATCCTCGCCTCCTGCGTCGGCTCCTTCTTCGCGCCCTGCCTCGTCATGGGCCTCGTCTACCTCCGCATCTACCGCGTGGCCAAGCGGCGCGCCGCCGGCAGGAGCCTCTCCCAGAAGCAGCCGCGGCCCCCGCCGCCGGAGGAGCTGGAGCTGGAGGAGAGCAGCCCCTCGGAGAGGCGCAGCCGGGACGAGTCCCCCCGACGCGGCCAGCGGCGCTCCTTCGCCGCCCGCCCCGTCGACTTCTTCGCCTCCCGGCGGCAGCGGCGCGGCGGCGGGGGGAGCGTGGGCAGCGGCGGCAGCGTGGGCAGCCAGGCCCGCGAGAAGCGCTTCACCTTCGTCCTGGCCGTGGTGATGGGCGTCTTCGTGCTCTGCTGGTTCCCCTTCTTCTTCAGCTACAGCCTGTACGGGATCTGCCGCGAGGCCTGCCGCGTCCCCGAGGGCCTCTTCAAGTTCTTCTTCTGGATCGGCTACTGCAACAGCTCCCTCAACCCGGTCCTCTACACCGTCTTCAACCAGGACTTCCGCAGGGCCTTCAAGCGCATCCTCTTCGGAGGCAGCAGGAGGAGGAGGAGGAGGAAGAAGAAGCAGGAGGAGGCGGCGGCGAGGAAGACCACCCTCTTGCCCTGACTGGGGGTCGCAGGGAAGGCGCCGCTCGAGCGGGCAGAAAGCGGCAGGGAAAGATGGAGGAGGGGGCCAGCCGAGATGGCCTGCCAAGAGGGGGGGGGGTGCTTCTCTGGGCCAGAGCAAAAGGGGGGGGGGGGCAAGACGCACCAACAGGGAGGGAGGGGGTGGAGGCTTAGGAGAGGCCCCCCCCCACTGGGCTTGTTCCAAGCAGGGCCTCCATTTGTGGGGGAGGGGAGGCCCCCCCCCCCATTGGCAGTCTTTTATACCTGACAGAATTTATATATTTTCCAAGCCGTTCTGAAGAACTATTTGAGCTCCGTTTTTCCAAATCGATCCTGGCTGGTTCCCCGAGGGCTGGTGTGGCGGCCAACCATTCGGTCATGTTGGCGCCAGCGCTCTGGGGCCCTGAGGATGAAGGTCGGTCTGGAAGCGACTCTGGGCTGTCGGAACTGTCCCAGGACATTTTCTAGTTGAAATCATGTCACAACTTTCGCCAATGAAAGTTTTGTTTCATATTTTATTTGAAATGACTCCTCAAAGTTTTTAAGAGGTGTGTGTGCATGCCCGTGCAGTGGGTGCATGTGTGTGTGGGGGTCAGTTTGCATTTTTTAAATGTTTACAAGTTCAAATACTGTTTCTGGGGGAATGGGCCATACTGATCGTTTTAAAAATTCCCAGAAATTATGTCTTGCTCATCCACCTGTAACTTATGAGTAGCTGCTGAACAGGCTTGTGGCCTGCTCTTTCCTGCTTCCAGTAACCAACCCCCCCCCCCCCAGTGGCTGCCTTTGCTCAGCGCCTCTCTGATTCAGAAAGCTGGAGACTCTGGTGGGTCAGACAAGGGCAAGGTGAGATCTGTCCCAGCAAGATGGGATTTGACAGGGAGGATCTACCTTGGGGAAGGTATAATCTGGCCAAACTTTAGAACAAGGATAAGGAACTGCATTAAGATGTGAGCAAGGCTCCCTCTGTGCTGTGGAATCTTGTGAGCAAAAATTCTACTTTGTGAGCCACTGGCATTAAAGTTGTGAGCTAAGACAAAAAGGCGTGAGCCAGAGGCTAAAAAACTGAGCTAGCTCACACTGACTCAGCTTAGAGGGAACAGTGGATGTGAGAGTCTTGGGGAGGGGGGGCTTCCAAAATATATTTGGCTTATATTTATCATTTTTACCAGTTTAGGCAAAGTTATTTCTTTTAAGTAAAGACATTTTAGGGGTCCCTCTTTCACTGGTTTGGTAAGAATCTATTGCAGAGTTTTGGAAGTCCCCATTTTAAAAATAGGGGGGCCTAAAGGGGTGTGTAAGTGGGGTTGCAAGCAGCAGAAAAGGCCAGCAGGGAGTGTGTGTGTGTGGGGGGGGCTACTGGTGGTCTTGGCTATGAGACAATGCCCTGCAGATGCCTTAGACAGTGTGGAGAGGAAGGGTATGGCTATTTAAATGAATTAAATAACCCAGGGAGGGTGTGCTGGCAGGAGGGCCAGCCGTCCTGCAACTTCCTTCTCAGCCACTGCTGCATCGCACCCCGAGAGAGGACAGCCAAGGACAGAGGCTGGCACCCCCCAAAAAACCGTTGTGCATCTGCCCTGTGCCCCTGGCATGCAGCAGTTGGCTGGGGCAAGGGGCAGAGGGAGAGGTGGGGCTATGCTTTGGGAGCAGTGACTTTGTGTTTCCATAGTCTGGGCCCTTGGCATGAGGGGGGGGGCATCTTTGGCCAGGGGCCCCAGATTCACTGAGACCACCCCTGTGTGGGAGAGAGAAAGAGGGGCCCATCAGTCATCCAGGTTCCCACTCTATAAAATGTGTATATGTATTCCATATGCATCACTCTTTGCCTGAGTTCTTCTGACTTTGGCCATAGTCTGCGGTTTGGCTCCCTTCCTCAAGTGATCTCCATGGGTGGGTTCAGAATGTAGCCAGGTTCACTTGGTTTATAATCTGTCACAACAACAGTGGCCTACTCTCCAGGGTTGTTGTAAGCCACTCTAGCTGAGCTTTGCCCCCCCCCCCCCGGGCAGCCTGGGGATAATAACCATGAAGTACATTGGATACCTTCATGGACCATTGGACAAATTATGAAGATCACCACAGCAAGAGAAACAGCCTGTCTTGCAGGGCTGATGTGAAGATTACTACTCATGGGTGTAAAGTGCTTTCAGCAGATAAAGTGCAGCTGGCTACTGCAGAGGGACAATGAAGTTAGATTTTGTTTACATAATTGGTCCCCCCCCATAAGGATATGCATAAAAAAACCCTTGTAATTAAGAGGTGAGTTAGAGCACTTAAAAGTTCACTTGTGTTCCAGAAGCATAGAAACGGTTGGTGCGGGGTGTCCCTGCCCGGCAACCTTACAAATGCTGCTTATTTACAACACTGTTAGCCGTGGTGCTCTCCTGACCTGGGTGGCCCAGGCTAGTTCAGTCTCGTCAGATCTCAGAAGCTAAGCAGGGTCAGGCCTGGTGAGGGCTTGGGTGGGAGACCACAAAAGACGTCCAGGGTCACAGCGCAGAGGCAGGCAGTGGCAAGCCACCTCTGAATGTCTCTTGCCTTGAAGACTCCACTGGGGGTCGCACTTTATATCACCACCAAGTACACAAGTCTTTAGTAAAAGTCTGAACTTCTGATTCTGACAACCAACCTCTTGCAAAGAAGAAGAAGAAGAGATTGGATTTATACCCCGTGGCCCTTCACTACGCAAAGGAGTCTCAGAGCGGCTGACAAATTCCTTTCCCTTCCCCTCCCCACGACAGACACCCTGTGAGGGAGGTGGGGCTGAGAGAGTTCTTGACAGAAATGGCTCCTTTTCAAGAACAGCTCTTATCAGAACTACGGCTTGCCCAAGGTCATCCAGCCAGGTGCCAGTGGAGGAATGGGGAATCAAACCCGGTTCTCCCAGATTAGAGTCTGTGCACTTAACCACGACACCAAACTGGCTCTCAGCAAAGCTCATCTTAAACTGCAGAATGCAGCCATGTGCACATTTAACCAAAAGTAAAATATTATTCAAGGAGTATTAGGACTGTTGACTTACAAATTCTGAACATGTAACGAACAGTGCAATCCTGTACAGCATTGTGTAAGTAACTCTGCATAGGACTGCACTGTAATTCATTGAGAGGGGAGCCAACCTATTGCGGAGGCTGACCTCACACATGCTGATCCATAAAGACAGGGGTTGCCTCCTCTTTTCTTGTGATCATACAGGTGCTTGCCCCGGGGACCTGTCTGCCCCCTCACTGAGCCCTTCATCTCTGATCTCCTCATACAGACCTGCTGTTCTCTTTAATCAAATGAAGGCTTATAGAGAAATCAGGGAGTGAAGGGGCTACTCGGTTCCTCGCAATGCCCCGGCGCTTCCTGATTTCAGCACGGCAGAGGAAGACGGAGGCTGAAAGAAGAGGAAGGGGGGGGTCGCTGAGGACTAAGAACTGCTGCTTGTAGAGCTGCCTTATTGTAAGCAAGCACAATATGCAAGAATGGTGGGAAGTGCTTACTGCAGATGATGCACAGATGTGTGTGTGTGTGTGTAAAACACCTTAATTTATTGCTCCCATACTTTTCAGATCATAAATGGATTTGCAAGTGCAAATGTTTCTGTTAAACATCTTTTTTAAAATCCTCCTAGAAAGACAAAAACTAATGATATCTCAAGAGTACAGATGGCACGGACTGGGAAAAGGTGGTTTGGTTCAGGGTCCATGGCTGCCCACGGATCGAACCCTGAACTGAACTGAGCCACAAGGCCCATTTAGGAACTACACCAGCTTGTGTGGTTCATGGCCCTGCAAACCCCGATGAAAGTGGTTTGCAAAAGCCCTTTCAATGGGGTTTGCAAAAGCCCGAAAAACAGCTGAGAAGCAGGGAGCAGCTAGCTCCCTGCTGCTCAGCTGTTTCGAGCTGTCTTGTGCAGTGCCTGTAAACTTTAAAGCCACTGCACAAGACAACCCAAAAAAACAGCTGGGAGGTGCTCCCACGGCAGCCAGGAGAAAGGGAGGCATCACCCAGGAAGAAGCTTCCCTTCTCCCTTCCTCCTGGCCACGAAGGAAGAGGCTTCTTTTCTCCTGGCCACCACAAGCCGTGGCCAGCGGAAAGGTGGGGGTGAAGTACCACTGGGAAGGCACTTCACCCCTTCCCTCTAAGCCCTTCTTTCTGCTCCCTGCGGCTTTCCCCAATGAAACACTGCAGGGAGCTAAGAGTAGTGTTTAAATGGCTCTGAGCCATTTAGACCAAACAGCTGAGCGATGGCAAGCTCCTGAAGAGCAGAAAGTCGGGGCAAACCCCAGTTTCCTGCTCTTCATAAACCATCACGAGCCACCACGAATTGCGTCAAAATCTTCAGTTCTTCAGTTCATGAATTCTGGTTTACAAACCCTGAACAGACCAAAGTTTGGGATGAACTTTGGTTCATCAGCCGGTTCGTGCCCCCATCCCTACTCAGGAATTCTGTCCTCATCACACTTGTTTGTTTTGTTTGCTTGATTTATCCCTCACGCCCTCTCCCCATAGGGTGGCTTACAACATTTAAAAGTACAAATACAATACAATACAAATACAATACAAATATGAATAAATGCAATAAATTTGCCAGTTAAAATTTGACTTATAGCTTACTCAGAGAATTAAAACTGGCCAGCTCTCCAGTTTGTAATGTTAACCAGAGGCCACATGAAAGAAAGCACCCTTGTGTGCCCTACGGAATGCTGGAAGGTCCCCCCCAGGGAGCTGGTCCCTGAGATAAGGAGCAGCCACTGCAAATGCCCTTGCCCTGGTGGCTGACGGGTGGGCCAGGCACCTGCAGAAGGCACCTGTAGAGTCATGGTCTAGGGAGGCAACGTGGGTAATACTGGGAGCCCCACAGGTAGGGCAGTCCCAGACCACAGGGCTTTATAGGCCAGAAACAGTATTTTGCATTTGCACCTGGAGGTTCAAATCTCTCATTCCCAAGTTAAT